TCAACGGAACACCTCTCTTCAGATGGTAAAATTATTTATGCTTTTAATGGAAATAATATTTTCCTTATTGACAGAATTGAAAATAAGAAATACCATACTAAAGTACAAGGACATATAAGAAATATTTATGTTCATCCAAAAATCAATACTAACCTTTTTGTTTGTTGTGAAGGAGGTGTATTTTATTTACTTCATTGTGATGAAGAATTAAAAAAAGGAAATCAACTCAATAAAAGTATAGATGAAGAGTTTCATGAATTTATTCCTACAATTAATAAATTCCATTGGCATTTTAAAAATTTTGATGGATTTGCATTATTTCAAAATGGTGAAAGAATATTAACAGGAGGAGATAATGGAGTTTTAGTATTTTGGAAAACAATAGATGGTAGTCAATCTTATCTTCCAGAAATTGGTGCTGAAATAAAGAAAATTACAGTTAACAATATATCAACATTAGCTGCATTATCACTTGCAAATAACTCAATTGTTATTGTTAGTTTATCACAAAAGAAAATTGTTAGAATTATTGCAGGACTAATTAAATCAGATAAAATTATTATTCATCCAGGTCCAAAGGGTCAAGTTATTACTACAGGAAATGGACCTATTCTTCAATTTTATGATCCATCTGGTGATAGGTGTGTTGCTAGTGCTGAAGTATCACGACCTAATGTTCTTCTTGAATCACTTGAGAAAAGAAAACTTCCAGATGCAGATGTTAAATATACATCATTAGATCATGTTTTTAAAGTTTGGGTTCTTGTTACTCGACAAACAATTAAAACAAAAGGAGGAGTCCGATCGAATGTGACATGGAAATGTAGGTCTATTGGTGCTTATTATGGAGAGCCATCATATTCTGCATCTATATCTAAAGATGGTAGTGTTATGGCAGTCTCGTTTAAAACAGCAATTACTATATGGGATGTTTTATCAAATAAGTTATTATTTTCACTTCCTGTTCCTTATGAACAACATGGTAAAGAATTTATACCTGTTGAAGTTCAATTTTTATCCAACTCACAATATATTCTCACTAAATCAAAACAAGGTGTTATTATATATGACCTTCTTTCTAGAAAGATTTATCAATCATTCCTTTGTACTCCAATTCTCATTGCTGCACATCGTACATTAAATTTATATTCATTTGTTAATAAAAATACTGGACATTGGGATGTTTTCTTAATGAAAATAGGAGAAATAAAACCAGTTGCTGTATGGAGAATAGACACAGAGATAACATCAATGGTATTTTACACAACAGTTACTGGACTTGAATATATTTGTGCAGTGACAAAGAATAG